TTCAAGTCACACTTTGAAACATTGCAATCAGCAAATCGCAACGGCTGTCATTTAGGAGATATGTTTTGTGGCGTGTCTGGACCAGGGTTTAATCTGTTGTTTGTTCATGAGCTGTGTCTCACGTTCTAGTCATGTTTGCCAATCATGTGACCCAAGACGACTGTATGCCCCCCAACAACCACACGTTTGGTTGCACAGGAAGTACAGATCAGCAAAAGATGTTCATGAGCAAGGCCTGATGTGGAGCAGTCTCCAAGTCACAGGTCAACACCACAGACCTATATCAGCACATGGAAGTGCATCATGAGCAGCCACATGATGAAAGCATTGCCAAAAAGTAAAGAAAAAGAAGTAATGATGATGTGTGTCACATGATTGGAGCAGCGCAGCTCGAGTTAGCCGCCTGAACTAGCTCGCAGGGTTCGCTCCATTCGAATGCAAATGTAATTTTTATTTGGAAGGAGACAGTGTCTGATAAGGTGATAGGTTTCAATAACTCAATTAGAAGCAGCAAACCTGGCTCTGCCTATAAGTAACAAAATATATCTAACACCTCTTCACTGATCAACACCTAATGTTTAATCTATTCAAAATGATAAATAAATAAAAGTAACTCCTACCTAGGAAGCAAATGTTTATTTTAATCAAATGCCAATCAATGTCTTTGGATAATTCAAATCGTCAATATATTTTCGGAAGAATACATTAACTGACCCATCATTTTTTAATTTACTTAAAATACTCATCAGTCCAAAGAACAGTGATGCAGCAGTTACTGAGAGGCTGCCTTGTGTGCACAGCATGACATGAACTTTAAAAACCCATATGCCACTTATCTATGAAGGACACCGCACAATTGGGAGGGATGAGACCGGTAGCAAATCTGAAAGCCTGCTATTATGTATCAATCGCTGAAATGCCTGCATTTTCAATATCTCTGTGTCCTTGCTGTTTGAAGGACACAGCAGTGTCGTATGCACTAGTCGATTTTTGAAGAGCAAACACACGCATTTACATTTATATACGCGCATTTAGCAGATGCGCTTTTCTGCAGAGTGGCTCCCGGCGAGATAGCGACGGTAGATCCAGCTCCGATTTTTTTTTTTTAGATGTCTTATGAGGCAGAGCAAAGGTCAGAGACAGGTGGAGAGCGTCCTAAAAATATGCAACCTTGGGTGAATATGTAAGAGAGAAATGTGAGGGAAAATAATTGAAAAAAACAAGAGGTCAAATGGATTTATTTTTTGTTTAGAGAAGGACAATAGGTGAGAGGAGATTTAATCTGTTCCGTCCCTGAATGTGCTTTCACTGGAACTTTGCAATTGTACACAATCCGAATGTTTTCCAGGGACAAATTAATTAAACCTTGATGTCTTGATCTTGGGAAAGCAAAACACAAATTCCAGCTTGCTAAGAAAAGATTTTTAAGGGGAAAATACAGAAATACACAGAGTATAAAAATATCTGAGGGATTGGATTCGAAGTTGTGAGCTGTGGAATGCATCTGTTGAGACCTGTCTATTACGACTGAGGGACACGATAAACAAATTTCCATACAGAGTAATATACTTTTAAAAAGAGTACGGAGCTGGGACCATCAGGGGCCGATGAACGGATTCCACCAGGGTCCTCCTGAGAAGGAGTTTAATTTTGCTCTTATTTTATTGCTTTGCAGAAATGTTTCAACACTCAGGGAAAGCATGAAGATAACTAGTGAGTCATCGGGCTCCTTCCGCCTACTGTGGCCATCACCCTAGAAATTGCCTGTTTTGTGAATCTAAACCCAGACAACAAACAGCAACAGAAACCACACGAGAATGTCTTGTTTTTGTGTAATGTAAAGATGTCATTTAACTTGAAAAAACCAGCCACATATAATGTGAGTGCATTGAGATATATTTCTGTAGCCGAGGTCGGTATAGGCACAATGAAATGGGGATAGTGAAGAATGATTTCCTCAGCGTACAACATCCTGGACTTTTTTTTCTTGAATATACTTTCTACCAAGAGTGTAAAATAGGTATTTTCATATTTAAACATGATTATAAAACCTCTCTTCTTGTAAGTGAAGCACCTGCAGATGTTTTGTGGATATTTTTAATAATTGATAGACGTTTCAGGTTTCAGGTGCTTATCCTCCAACTTTCATTCTGGGTGTATCTCAACATGTCATGTTGAATCAGGTACAATGGTTTCATTCCATGAACAGCCCTCAGAAAAATATTTTCTAACAATATAATAAATACTCTTTCAATTGTTCAATGCAATCCCTCCTTGCTATTCTTTATGGGTGGACTACTCTGGAGTGTTTGACCCAGGATGAAGTGCCAGCGTTCATTATCCTTCACTGCATCTGCTTACACTGAGAGTTGTGTGCGATTCTCTAATGTCCAAATCAGGGATTTCAAGCTAATTAATTATTAACAAGTAATTAATAATAATGAGTTTAAAACAAAATGAGTCATTCCAAGTTTCTTTTACTTTTTAAATGCGCAGTATTTTTATGATGTAATGCACAGTTGGATTACTTCATATGTAATTTTGCATATTGTGATACACTACTGAAAGATAAAAGATGCCCGTTTGCTTTTTCTCAGTCGTATGGAAGGATTTTGAGGATGTTTCCGCCTTCCTCAAAATAATTTCATGTATTTGCACAAGCCTTTTCGTCGAAGAAGCCACTCGGGTTCAATGTACGAACATGGATGAATAACTGAGCTGCCCTCATGGGTGCACACCCAGGATCCCTTTGGCCACAATGAGATGTCACAGAGAAAAAACGAAGCAATTAGAAAGAGACACAATCCGGCTCGCTGCGTTGTTTGGTGTCACTTTCGGTCTGGGTGCACTCATGTATAGAGGGAGTGGGAGGGCGTTCACGCGTCTGTGCCCTGGGAGCCGCTGCTTCACAATCCACACATGCAAGCAGCTGACAAATTAAAAATAAAACATCACAAACGCTTCCAGGTGTTTTCATGGAACGGATCCACTGAATAGCGAGATCTCAATCCAACTGCCCACCTTCTATCTGATTTAGCCGACAGTAAAATAAACCGAGCAAGGATTCGAAAAGAATGCTGTTGTTCTCTACAGCAGAGTTCCAGAGATGATTCGTATTGACAATGTTCTGGAGGCTCGCGGGGGGAAAAACACTCGTTATTTTTCCCTCCCACCTGAACAGATACGGTAATGGACACTCTGTCTCTGTCTCCCCCTTCAGCTCCAGATGTCACTGATGACAGTCATCGAGTGTTCAATACTCCTTTTCAATCCGGTCGTGATGTCAGCAGCAACATGTCATTAGATCATTGAGTGTCACGCTCACTCTCAGTGCCACAGTACATCACAACAAGGTCCACTAAGAACATCCCACCCCCACTTAAATACAGTCATGACACCAATGCAACTGTTTTCTTCACATCCGGGTGACTAGGGAGGAGGCGGAAGTTCTCTCAACTTGAATCGTCATGTTCACACAATGGGTTGGCTTGGACGTTCGTCCACACCATTACACCACCACCCCTGTCAACAGCAGCCTCACATTTTCTGTTCTTGGCCGTCGGGAGTGGAAGCTGAAGCCTATCAATGTTGGATTTGTTGTTCATTCTGAGAGACGTTTTCTGCTCACCCCAGTTGTAAAGAGGTTGTACCGTTGCCTTTCTCCTCTGACCCATCTCTTCGTCAAGGTTTTCCCGTTTTGCAGAACTGCAGCTCACTCTTTTGTTTCACTTACCAGTCTCTGGAGTAAAAACTCCAGAGGGTGTGAAAGATCAGGAGTTTCATGAATACTCAACAACAGCAATCATGCCACTGTCAACGTTTTGTCCATTCTGATGTTGGATGTGAAGGGAACTGAAGCTGCTGACATGTACCTGGTGAAGGTGGCTTTATTTGACTTCCATATATTTAGAGTTAAAATATGCCTGTTGTCTTTCTTCCTCCGCTTTCCAGCTCGAGGAGTTGGGTTCTGACTTAGTTTCTCTCTCCTCTCTCCTCCATTATTTGTTTGACAGGATCTCTTCCCCACCTCGGGTCTCTGGCAGCGGCAGTGGGCGTTCAGTGTGAAATCTGAGGCAGCAGCGCCTCTCCTTCTTCTCCGAGGATTTCTCGCGGCCACATACACAGCAGCCGAGTCTCGACAAAGTAGCTGACAGGTAAATGTTGTGCTTACACGGTTCAGAGAATTTGTGAGAAATTGCACGGTGCGTGGCAGGCATTCGTGGTGACTGACGGAGCAACAATATCACGCACACATGCACGGGCGCAGAGAGAGAGAGAGAGACAGGGGAGAGAGGCAGAAAGGTATTCAGTGAGAGCAAGAGCGCACAAGCAAACACGCACGTTGATGAGACGACGCAAAGCAGAGGATGAAGGACAGGTCGGCTTTAGTTTGTATGTAAAATGATGTGACAGGGCTGGATTACGTTGCGCACAGGATCACAGTCTTATACGCACAGGAGGGAAGCTACAAAGTTGTAGTTACGCAAAAACAACACAATTCAGAACTCGCGCACAGGAACGCACATATTTCCACAGCTTGGTCTGGATGTGGAGCTTCACTCCGTCTTTACAGGTTTCAAACATTCAAACAGACACAATCACACAAACAGACAACGTGTGGAAAGACCCACCTCTGATCCGTATTTGGTTGTGCGCAACTCTTTTGCACAACATTCATTTTTTTTGCACAAATATTGTCGACAAGGAACAGACTGCTACTGGCGGTCCCTGCCAGTGTGGAAACGAGCTAAACGAGCCTCCCGTCTGACTCAACTCAATTTGAACTCCCCCTTCTTCTCCCCCTTTCCTCACTCTCTGCTGATCCATCATGCGTCACGACTTGATCTCAACTCAAGCTGCAACTGACCACCCGAACCCGCTTTACCGTCTTGTGCGCTGCGCGTAAAAACGCGCCTGGCACGAAAACGCACGGCAACTGTTCTTCCCCCAAGAGAGGAAACACACAAGCACATATACACACACACACACGCCAAACTCACCCAGGGTGTGAACGCAGCTCCTTCCCGTGCGCCTCTAGATTTGTGTCCCTGTATCCAGTAAAAAGATGAGGAAGAAACCCGTGCGGCAAAGGCGCAAAGGAACTAGAGGACGGCAGCCGTACGCCACCGACTTCCCTCCTTCTTCTCCTCTTCCCCTCCTCTCTCTCTGTTTCTCTCTCTTCTTCCCTCAGTCCCTGCCTCTTCCTCGAGGCAGGCTGAGCAGCGGCTGTAATAATCCAGACATTGTCCTCTTCTTCAACACATTCAAATTAAACACGGACTCCGATTCGTGCCACAACTCACAAGTTTACAGTTCGGATGGGTTCTGCGCTCTGGTTGGAGATGGTGCCCCCGGTACTCCGCGTTTGGAAACAGTCTGAGCGAACAGTACACGAATTAAAAAAGAAAAAGCTCCTTACGATATTGTTTTAGTCAGAGCAGTAGTTGGACCCTGGCTGCAGAGAAAGTTTGCTCTCAAAGTGGCTGAGAAACAGATGAGATCGGGCGAGAAAAGAGGGAGGTAATCCCAGGAAGATTTCTTCTTCTCTCACTTCCCGATCCGGACAAAAAGAAAACTCTCTCCTCAGAGGACTGTGGTGCACCTGCTGCCGGAGCAGATACGCACAGGTATCCACAGACTGAGCGAACCTCCCCTCCTCTCTGATCCGCAGTTTTATTTTATTTCTGAAACGTCATATTATTCCGGATCTCTGTGCGCCTCGGTCATCACTCACGGTGTCAAAGCCTGGCGTTGCCTATCCAAGTGGCTCAGGAAGAGCGTCTCTGTCCACCAGCGCTCTCCTCCTCGCTCCCGCTCTCTCTCCTTTCCTCTACGAGATCTGTCCATCCTCCTGTGGTGAAACCACACCTCGCTCGGCTGCGATTGGCGGAAAGCAGCAGAGGAGGAGGAGGTGAGGCTGCGATGATGATGATGAGCACAGGGGAGAAGGGATGGGGGGAGGACGAGAAGATGGGAAGAATGGATAGAAGGATGAGAGATCTTGAAGAGGAGAGGATGGAGAGAAAAACGTGGAGAGACAGCGTGTGCCAGGAAAGGAGGATAACTGAAACTGTGTGTGTGTGTGTGTGTGTGTGTGTGTGTGTGTGTGTGTGTGTGTGTGCGTGCGTGTGTGTGCGTGCGTGTGCGTGCGTGTGAGGCACTGAGCTCTATGTGTTTGAGCCCAAAGGGGAGGGCTGGCTAATGAAAGTGAAAATGCTTCCCTCCTCTTTTCTCATTCATTCACAGCGCTTTAGCCAAATTTGTCTGCAAATCCGCTTTGACTCCCGGCAACACTAAATTCATACTGACAGTGTCCCCCCATTACGCAGCGGAGTCATACACTTCTTTCTGTCCGTCTTTCCGCCTCCCTCTCTTTATAAAATCTGGTGTCTGTCAGCAGAGCGGCTTTCTTGAGTCTGTAATGAATAAGTAAGTGGTTGAAGGGAGGCTGGAGAGTGAAGTGCATGCTGAATATACTGCCGAGGGGCGTCGGGAGGGAAATAAGTAACAGCATGAGCCGCCTCTGTAATGGGAGCAAATGAGGTGGGCCGGATATTGTTGTGGCTCAACCGCACATTGGCAGAAGGGAGAGGGTCGACAAAAATCTCTTGACAGCTCCCGGGAGAGGCTGTGATTGATGGAAACGCTCTGGGGAGTGTTTCAGTATGAACTTGGTTAACTCAGAGCCACAGGAGGCATTCATCACTGGCTGCCACGCTGGAGTGAGGCGCTCGCTGTGAGGTTGGCAGCATTTGATTTAGAAAGGTACCTGAGAGACATCTTCACAGGAGCAGCAACTGTCTGTTTGTGGATGTTTTAACGACCACGTGAACAAATGTCCGAGTCCACCACAGATTGACAGGATGTGGGTTTCAGTGGTCTATGGATAGAGGATGTTAAATGGTAATAATTGGAAAGCCCAACAAGATCAATCTGTCAAATCTAGAGAATTTTTCAGTCAGCCCTTTAAAATAAATATATCTTGACTTGTTACCTACTTCCGGGGTAGTATGACGTCAGCTACTCCTGCACTTTTCTCTCAGCCCAACCCAGCCGGTACCAGTCCAGCCTCGGAACCCTCCAACCCACACCACCCCTCCTGCCCGAACGCGGCACCAGTGGTTACGCTTTATTTTATCTGATGTGCCGCTTCATTTCAGGAAGAGTGTGACGGAGTGTGCTCGGCTCATTTCACCCCTAACTCTAAACCTACAACACCTCGAGGATACAGCCTCCCCACACTGCGCTACCTGGTTCAAGATCATCAACATAAGTAAACGAAAGAATGATGTGTCGTATTTCACAAAGAAGGAAGCAGTGGACAATACACTCTTTATTCGTTGCTAACGCAAGAACGTTGCTAACTGTTGGCATTGTTAGAACACAGAGCAGCTTCACTCTGAACATGTAGTGAACCTCAGGAATAACACACTTCAAAGTTCTGCACCATCACGTTGTTGTTAATCACTGTTGTTCTTTCTTAACGTTGTACTTTACTGCTGTTTACATGACGCAGTAACACAGTGCATGAGGATCACGTTTGTGTTGTGACTGCACAGCGTTCACATTGATTGGGACTTCAATCACTCGGCCAGTAACAGCCTGTGAATGTGCATGTTTAATGTATGTAGGCAGCATCGTAAAGGAAACAGGAACAGTGGCTCTCATTTATTGTTGTTAGAATAACTCCCTATAATAATCCCCCCCTTCAATAATAATAGTAAAGTAATAATAATAATGCACAGGGCTCTGTAACAGGCTAATAAAACATATCAAGGAAATAATTTTTCCGTTCTTTTTTGACTGAAAAATCAAGTTCCACATCACTTCAAAGTAGAGGGTCCTGAAAGATGTGGAGAGGTGTTGTCCTATGTTTGCCTCAAAGAATGTCATCTTCCCTTTTATTCACACGGTGTAAGATCCCTTTCTGTTTGTAATGAGTTGATTTGCTCCTCATGTGCCCTGTGTTGGGTTGAACTGCTGTGCAAAGTCTCAGTTTGGTAATTTACACAGATTTCTTTGTTTTTCAGGTTGTACTTGCCAGCAGTGCACTTCAATGAAAATGCTGAGCACCCTGAAGCAACCAGCTCTTCAGAGAAGCCCATCTATAAATTCAACTATCAGAAGGGGCACCGCCACCAGTGAAAAATAATAATAATAAAAAAAAATATACATAAATGAAATATTTTATCTGCTGAGGAGCTGCTGTCCTCTCAGTACGAAAGACTACCAAAAGAAGAGGTCCTCGCTGGCTGTGTCAAGCGTTTCAGTCTAGGAGCGGTCTGGAGTCAACTTAACTGCCGCCATCATCAGGGAACTCCTGGCGTATGGGAAGGACTTCACATGAGGGAATTACAAACCTCACCTTTCCTCACCAGATGGCCCCAGCAACAGATGAAGCTCCAGTACGCCTGACCTCACAGACAGGTCACTTTCATTTTTGAGTGAAATACTTTTATTTAGATCACAGTCTTTTCTAAACACCACAATGTGTGATTGTTGCAGGTTGCTCTGTTATAGTTTGTTTTCTGTAATAAAGGAATTTTCTACAAGTGCCTCAAGTGTTTCATTTCATAAATTGAAATCAACATATCTAATAACCAGTTGATGTATTCATTGTATTGTAAATATGCATGTCAATTTCAATACTAATTGAGTTGTATTATTATCTAATGAAATCACTGCTAGTTTAGCGGTATAGTCTGAGCCTCAAAGGCCCATAGTCAGCCCAATACATGTGATCATTTTGAAGAGAGGGGACGGTCAAGCACACAGTTTCCAGGCCAGGATGCTCTGTCATGTAGTTTGTGGGGGACTGAAGCTGCTTCATTCTCAAAAAAACCTGATGAGCACAAAAAAATAAGACTCTTTGGTACCACAACGTAAAGACTTTGGCTACAGTGAAGATGATATGATTATCTACAGTGAAGATGATTTGATAATCTACCTTGTGTGTCTCCCTGCAGCACATTCTCTGTTGTCATCATTGCACCACAGCTGCACCTGTAGAGAAAAAAGCATCATTTCTAGTGAAATAGCTGCATGAGCTGCATTGTCATGCGTACGTGATTACAATAAAAGGAAAACGCTAATTACGTATCCACACGATTATTTACAATGAAATCCGCCTCGTGTTTTCAACCTTATAAAGCAACTGGTGTCATATCAAATACAGTGTTTTCTAAATAAGCGTTTTGTTGCATGAACTGAGCTTTCACATGCAGCATTGATGTAGCGTTACTCCGGTACTCTAACTCGGGTCTGTAACTGTACTGACACACCCTGGTTGCTTGTCACTCAGAGTGCAGTCGGCCAATCAGAGAAGGGGCTCGTAAATAATCAATGAGGCAGGCGTAAACAGCCTGTTCTGACTGCAGCGCCAGAGAGAGGCAGAAGAGATGACATGGAAATACACGTTGCAGCAGTTTTTGACTTTAAACCACTGATATATCATCTTGGGGGTACTAATAACTCAAATTAAATTCTAGAAAGGTGTACAATATGGTCCCTTTAAACCGAAGCATGTTGGACACTTGAGCTGTTTTCAGACAGGCCTGAAATGCCAACACAATGGAGCCTGGACTTTTCCTTCCATCTAAGAAGAATGTGGCAGGACATCGTCCAGTCAGACGTGCTCACATCGACAGTAAATTGTCCGGAGCACTCACGGTGGGGCAGCATGAAAGAGACAGGACGCAACATATCAATTCTGCTGCAGAGATCACATGACAGCCTTTATCACCAAAATTTTTTCAATCTCCTCGTATTTCCAAATTGGCAGCTTGTGTATGTCCATCATGTGTCAGATATGACATCAATGCACACACTAACTCATGGATAATCCCATGCCGTATATTCACATCGTCTTATTCAGACATTATCTGGAGTTTAAACAATGGGGCTAGAAGAAACAACTCCAGATTTTGTCCAATGTCTCAAATTCGGACACTTTTGTTCTTCTATATAGCCCTGCCAGATAATTTTAGGAGATTATCTGGACTTCTGTTATTTGGATTCCATCATCAGCCTGTTTGTGTGTCTTCTCATGGTGACAGTGTGTTGCTGCTGGCTGGGTGTGGTCTCTTTCTTTCAACTCAGGCTTGCTCCCAGCCATTCTTCCTCGCTCAGCCAGCCCCTCAGACACTCTAATCCCTGAGCACTCTGAAATCACTCTGAACTGGCTCTTGTCAGACTCTGGACCCCCTGCTTCCCTCTCGCTGCTTTAATAGTTTTTTTGTTGTTGTTCCGCTTCCCTTTTAATATTACTTTATACTGCTTTCTTTGTTTTTTGTGCTCGCAGATCTTTGCTTTTATTTTACTAAAAATACAAACCCTAATACAAGTGTTACCAAACAAAAATTTGTAACATTTGCTTGGATTCATCACTCAGCTTTGCCCCAAGAATCATGGTCATTATGATGGATGACTTCGTCTAACAGGGGGCGGAAAAATATTTGCATGTATAAGAATCTCCCCGGAGGAGCTGGGGAGAGGGATGTCTGGAACACCCTGTGTAGCTGGCTGCCTTCACACCCTGACTCGGATAAGAAGAGGAAAATGAATGGATGTATAAGGGTAATTCCTTGAAAACTGGCCATGGCCTTAATTTCTGTAAACTATCAAGTTGGAATCTTACATGTGCATGGTGGGAATTCAGGTACAGGAGTGTTCTGATCGCATGTAATTACAATCAAGTCTTAAAATTATGACATGACAT